AGTTATAATAATATCATTTACAATCAATACAGTTTATAATCATATCATTTACAATCAACTTCTGTACACAGGGGTCTTCAAACTTTTTAAACAGAGGGCCAGGTCACAGTCCCTCAAACTGTTGGAGGGACGGATTAAAATTTGAAAAAAACATGAATGAATTCCTACGCACACTGCACATATCTTATTTGTAGTGCAAAAACACTTAAAAACAATACAATAATTAAAACGAAGAACCATTTTAACAAATATAAACTTATTAGTGTTTCAATTGGAAGTGTAGGCCTGCTTTTGGCTGATGAGACAGGATTGTTGTTGTTGTTGTTGTTGTTGTTGTTGTGTGCTTTCAAGATTTAGGTTGACACAGAGCAAGGTCCAGGTAAATGACCTTGGAGGGCCGTAACCGGTCCCAGGCCTTAGTTTGAGGACCCCTGGTCTAGGACTATGTGATGTATTGGGGAATAATGCGTGCAGATCCAAGGAGGGAGAGGTTTTGCAGCTCACAGGTGGGGATTTGGTCAGCGACTATTGTTTTTAAGTGCAGGCCAAGGTCTTTAGGCACTGCTCCCAGTGTGCCGATTACCACTGGGATGCCCTTGACTGGCTTCTGCTTGAATCTTTGCAATTAATATTTGTTATTATTATTATTACTATTATTATTATTAGATACACAACAAGATCAGTGCACAGCAAACAAGATCACTATGCTGGACTTTGTATTTGATTTCACATCAGACACATCCCCAGTATCTAGGACTATGTGATGTATTGGGGAATAATGCGTGCAGATCCAAGGAGGGAGAGGTTTTGCAGCTCACAGGTGGGGATTTGGTCAGCGACTATTGTTTTTAAGTGCAGGCCAAGGTCTTTAGGTACTGCACCCAGTGTGCCGATTACCACTGGCTTCTGCCAGAGTCTTTGCAATTATTATTATTCTTTAGTAAATATCATTGCTACTGATAATATTTAGTAATGTATAATGATATACTGTTTTATTATTGTTTATTTACATATTTTGTAATGTTTTTCATTGTAAGTTGCTTTGAGTCTCCGTAGGGAGAGATAAAGTGGGATATAAATAAATATTATAATATTGAATTATTAAAAAATTATTTAAAAATATTAAATATTTAAAAATGTTCAAAATAATAATAATAATAAATATAAATAAATAGATAAATAAAATGCATATGCTATTTATTTATTTATTTATTTATTTCCGGCATTTATATGCCACCCTTCTCACTCCAAAGGGGACTCAGGGCGGCTTACAAGATATATATACATACAATATATTATATTATTAACATAGTATAATATCAGTATTATATATTACTATATTGTACTATACCGTTGTATTGTAATATTAGTAATATTACATGTAATATAAAATACATAATTATAATATCATATTATTAGTAGTATTATATTGTATTAGGTAAAGGTAGTCCCCTGACGTTAAGTCCGGTCATGTCTGACTCTGGGGTGTGGTGCTCATCTCCATTTCTAAGCCGAAGAGCCAGCGTTGTCCGTAGACACCTCCAAGGTCATGTGGCTGGCATGACTGCATGGAGCGCCGTTACCTTCCCACCTGAGCGGTACCTATTGATCTACTCACATTTGCATGTTTTCGAACTGCTAGGTTGGCAGAAGCTAGGGCTGACAGCGGAAGCTCACGCCGCTCCCCGGAATCGAACCTGCGACCTTTCAATCAACAAGCTCAGCAGCTCAGCGCTTTAACACACTGCGCCACCATTATAATATTATAAATATTATATGTATATAGGTAAAAGGTAAAGGTTGTCCCCTGACATTAAGTCCAGTCATGTCTGACTCTGGGGTGTGGTGCTCATCTCCATTTCTAAGCCGAAGAGCCGGCGTTGTCCATAGACACCTCCAAGGTCATGTGGCCGGCATGACTGCATGGAGCGTTACCTTCCCACCTGATCGGTACCTATTGATCTACTCACATTTGCATGTTTTCGAACTGCTAGGTTGGCAGAAGCTAGGGCTGACAGCGGAAGCTCACGCCGCTCCCCGGAATCGAACCTGCGACCTTTCGATCAACAAGCTCAGCAGCTCAGCGCTTTAACCCACTGCACCACCGGGAGCTCCAATATATTATATTATTAACATAGCACAATATCAGTATTATATATTACTATAATGTAGTATACCATTATATTGTAATATTATTAGTCATATTACATGTAATATAAAACATATAATTATAATATCATATTATTCGTAGTAACAAAGATCCGCCTAGTCAAAGCCATGGTATTCCCTGTAGTAACCTACGGATGTGAGAGCTGGACCTTAGGGAAGGCTGAGCGAAGGAAGATCGATGCTTTTGAGCTGTGGTGTTGGAGGAAAGTGCTGAGAGTGCCTTGGACTGCGAGAAGATCCAACCAGTCCATCCTCCAGGAAAGAAAGCCCGACTGCTCATTGGAGGGAAAGATACTAGAGACAAAGTTGAAGTACTTTGGCTACATCATGAGGAGACAGGAAAGCCTAGAGAAGACAATTATGCTGGGGAAAGTGGAAGGCAAAAGGAAGAGGGGTCGACCAAGGGCAAGATGGATGGATGGCATCCTTGAAGTGACTGGACTGACCTTGAGGGAGCTGGGGGTGGTAACAGCCGACAGGGAGCTCTGGCGTGGGCTGGTCCATGAGGTCACGAAGAGTCGGAGACGACTGAACGAATGAACAACAACATTATTCGTAGTATTATATTGCATTACATTATAATATTATAAATATTATATGTATATACAATATATTATATTACATTATGTTATATTATTAGCATAGGATATAGGAAAAGAGAGCTTAGATTATGGCTTTCTGCACAGAATGGGGTTGGAATGGACGGCCCTTGGGGTCTTTTCCATCCTTTGTGGCTTTATGTGCTTATGAAACTCTTCTTCATAAGATGCAGGTGAAATGTCAGGAGAAATGCCTCTAGAACATGGCTCTATAGCCCGAAAAAACCCACAAGAACCTAGTAAAACTCTTCTTCCTTCCACCTCCATGACGAGACCATCTATCCCAGTGGTTCTCAACCTTCCTAATGCCGTGACCCCTTAATCCAGTCCCTCATGTGGTGGTGACCCCCAACCAGAACATTGTTTTTGTTGCTACTTCACAACAGTCATTTTACTACTGTTATACATCATAATGTAAATATCAGATGTGCAAGATGTATTTTCATTCACTGGACCAAACTGGGCACAAATACCCAATGCAACCACATGTAAATGCTAGTGGGGTTGGGGGAGGATTGATTTTGTAATTTGAGAGTTTTAGTTGCTGGGATTTATAGTTCACCTATAATCAAAGAGCATTCTGAACCGCACCAGCAATGGATGTGAACCTAATTTGCCATACAGAACTCCCATGACCAACGGAAAACACTGGAAGGGTTTGGTGGGTATTGACCTTAAGTTTGGGAGTTGTAGTTCACCTATATCCAGAGAGCACTGTGGACTCACGCAGTGGTGGATCTGGACCAAACTTGGCACGAATATATGCAAATGTGGACACTGGTGGAGCCTGGGGAAAATAGACCTTGACATTTGGGAGTTGTAGTTGCTGGGATTTATAGTTCATTACAAACAAAGAACATTCTGAACTCCACCAACGATAGAATTGGCTCAACTTCCCACATGGAATCTCCATGACCATCAGAAAATACTGTGTTTTCTGATGGTCTTTGGTGACCCCTCTGACACCCCTTCATGACCCCCTCAGGGGTCCCGACCCCCAGGTTGAGAAACACTGATCTATCCCAACCCTCCTCTGGAAATAAACCCGTCTCCCTTTAGGACCGCGCGGTGACGCGGAGCCCTCATTCCTCCCACCCGCCTCTGCTTCAGAGGATGAAAAAGTAGGCGTGGCTTCGCACGGCCCCGCCCACAGCCTGCTCGCCTGCCTGTTTCCCAACGCGCATGCGCAGGACGGCCGCCCGGCGCGGAGAGGGCTTCCGCTTTTCGATCCGCGCTCGGCCTAGCCCGGCCTCTTCCCGCTTCGCCGCCTCACCTCGTTGCGGAGCGGGTCCATCTTGTAGACGGCCTGGAGCTGGTTCCGGAGCCGCATCGCGATCGCCACCGAGCCCCCCTGAGGAGGAGGAGACGCCATCTTGGAGCCGCCTCGCCCACTTCCGGGTTGGCGCGAGGGGGCGGGGCTTGTCGCCGCAGCAACTACGGCGCCCGGCGGGACCCTCTCCGGCCCACTTCCGGCCTGGGCGGCGCAAGGGTTGCTGGGAGTTGTAGTCCAGGGAGGAAAAAACCCCTATAACAGGACTGAGAGAGGCAGGGACTAGGGAAGACCCTGAAACATCAGCATATAGTGTGGAAATAAGTATTTCCAAGGCAGGAAGGCCCCACCTACACACTGTCATATATATAATCCAGATAATCTGCTTTGAACTGGATTATATTGCAGTGTGGACTCATATAACCAGGGTTCCTGTTATGCCACCTCTACAAAGTTCTGGAGAGACTTATTTTGCATAGAATTATGGAAAAAATAGACCCATGTCTGATCCACAGCAAGCTGGCTTCAGGAAAGGCAAAAGCTGCACATCGCAAGTGCTGAACCTGACTCAGCACATAGAAAATGGCTTTGAAAGGCAGCAGATCACAGGAGCTGTCTTCATAGACCTGTCAGCAGCTTATGATACTGTAACCACCGCCTCCTCCTGAGAAAAATGTATAATATCACAAAGGACTACCAGCTCACCTGCCTCATAGGAAACCTGCTACAAAACAGGAGCTTTTTTGTTGAGTTCCAGGGCCAGAGAAGCAGATGGCGGAAACAGAAGAACGGCCTGCCTCAGGGGAGCGTGCTTGCTCCATCCATGTTCAACATCTACACAAATGACCAGCCACTGCCAGAAGGGACAGAGAGTTTCATCTATGCTGATGATTGTGCCATCACCACTCAAGCAGGGAGCTTTGAGATGGTAGAACAGAAGCTCTCCGAAGCTCTAGGTGCACTAACTGCCTATTACAGGGAAAACCAGCTGATCCCCAACCCATCCAAAACACAGACATGTGCCATTCACCTTAAGAACAGACAAGCATCCCGAGCTCTGAGGATTATTGCCTGGGAAGGAATCCCACTGGAGCATTGCAGCACACCCAAATACCTGGTAGTCACTCTGGACCGTGCTCTGACCCACAAGAAGCACTGCCTGAACATCAAGCAAAAAGTGGGCGCTAGAAACAATATCATACAAAAGCTGACTGGCACCACCTGGGGATCACAACCAGACACACTGAAGACATCTGCCCTTACGCTGTGCTACTCTGCTGCTGAGTATGCATGCCCAGTGTGGAACACATCTCACCATACTAAAACAGTGGATGTGGCTCTTAATGAGACATGCCGCATTATCACGGGGTGCCTGCACCCTACACCACTGGAGAAATTACGCCGTTTAGCCGGTATTGCACCACCTGACATCCGCCGGGAAGTAGCAGCCAATAGTGAAAGGACCAAGGCAGAGACATCTCCAGCTCATCCCTTGTTTGGGTATCAGCCAGCACTTCAACGACTTAGATCAAGAAATAGTTTTCTAAGATCTACAGAGACACTCACTGGAACACCTCAGCAAGCGAGAGTCCAAAAGTGGCAGGCTCAAACCCAGATCCTCAATCCGTGGGTGACACCAGATGAGCGACTCCTCCCTGAGCACACAGAAGACGGGGCGACTTGGAAGGTGCTGAACAGACTGCGCTCGGGCACCACGAGATGCAGAGCCAACCTTAAGAAATGGGGCCACAAAGTGGAATCCACGACATGCGAGTGCGGGGAAGAGCAAACCACTGACCACCTGCTGCAATGCAACCTGAGCCCTGCCACATGCACAAGGGAGGACCTTCTTGCGGCAACACCAGAGGCACTCCAAGGGGCCAGATACTGGTCAAAGGACATTTAACCAACTACCAAACTCGCAAATGTTGTATTTTATATGTTTGTTTGCTTTGTTCTGTTAGAAATGTAATATAATTGACTGGTTGATCTGACACGACAAATAAATACCCAGGGTTAGGGTTAGACTAGATGGCCTTCCAGTTCTATGAGTGGAAGGCCCTTTCTACATTGCTATATAAATAAAATAAACCACATTATCTGCTTTGAACTGGATTATATGGCAGTGTGGACTCACATAACCCAGTCCAAAGCAGATAATCTGGATTATTTTATTTATATAGCAGTGTAGAAAGTGCCTTCCACTTTCCTCCAGCACCACAGTTCAAAAGCATCTCTCTTCCTTCACTCAGCCTTCCCTATGGTCCAGCTCTCACATCCGTAGGTGACTATGGGGAATACCATTGCTTTAACTATGCAACATGTATGTGTATATGTGTGCATATGGTGAGTGTGTGTGTGTGGAATGTCCAGGGTGGGAGAAATAATCTTTGTCTGTTTGAAAGCAAGTGTGGATGTTGCAATTAGCAAGCTTGAAGAGCCCTGAGTAGCCTTGTGACTTAAGATAGATAGATATAGAATGTTTGTGTGTGTGTATGTATGTGTGTGTATATATATATAAACACCAGCCATCCCCTGCCACGTGTTGCTGTGGCTCAGTCTGTGTATATGTGTTTTGTGTGGGTATATATGCATATATGTGTGTGTATATATTTGTGTATATGTGTATGTATGTGTGTTTGTGTTTATAAATGGTTTTGTGCATGTGTTGCACTTGCAATGTATTCTTTGTTTTTTGGCTTTTTTAGTCTCCCTTTTTCTTCTCCTTTTTCTTTCTCTCTTTACCTCCCTCCTCTCCTTCCTTCCTTCTCTACCCTTCTTTCTTTCCTTCCTTCCTTCCTTCCTTCCTTCCTTCCTTCCCCATTCTGTGTATGTGTTTTGTGTGTATATATGCATATATGTGGTACGCTGATGACGTCCAACTCTGTCATTCCATGTAATGTGAAAGATACTGAACTGTTCAGATCCTGAACCAGTGCCTGGCTGCTGTGACGGTTTGGATGAGGGTGAACAAATTGAAATTGAATGCAGACAAGACAGAGGTCCTTCTGGTCAGTCTCAAGGCCGAACAGGCATAGGGTTACTGGCTGTCCTGGACGGGGTCACACTCCCCCTGAAGATGCAGGTTCGCAGCTTGGGAGTGATCCTGGACTCATCGCTGAGCCTGGAACCCCAGGTTTCGGCGGTGACCAGGGGAGCATTTCCACAGCTAAAGCTTGTGCACCAGCTGCGCCCGTACCTTGGGAAGTCTGACTTGGCCACGGTAGTCCACGCTCTGGTTACATCCCGTTTAGACTACTGCAACGCTCTCTATGTGGGGTTGCCTTTGAAGACAGCTCGGAAGCTCCAACTAGTCCAACGCTCAGCAGCCATGATTTTAACAGGAGCGGAGCGCAGGGAGCATACAACCCCCCTGTTGCGCCAACTCCACTGGCTACCGATCTGCTACCGGGCTGAATTCAAAGTGCTGGCGTTGGCCTTTAAAGCCCTAAACGGTTCCGGCCCAAGCTACCTATCTGACCGCATCTCTGCCTATGAACCCACCAGGAGTTTGAGATCTTCCGGGGAGACCCTGCTCTCGATCCCGCCTGCTTCTCAAGCTCGGCTGGCGGGGACGAGAGATAGGGCCTTCTCGGTGGTGGCTCCTCGGCTGTGGAACGCCCTTCCTACGGACATTAGACTAGCACCATCTCTAATGGTATTCCGCAAAAAGGTGAAGACCTGGATGTTTGTGCAGGCGTTTGAGTAATTTAGTGCAATCTGGTAATGGAATATAGGAATGGAACAATGGACGACGAACCTGGACTACGCTTGGATGATGAGAAGATTGGGTACGGTTGTTTTTCGTAATAATTGTGCATTGTAATTGCTTATTGTTAATTTATGGATAATGTGTTAAGTCAATTGTTATATGTTGCATGGAACCACTGCTGTTTCTACTGTTTTTACTGTTTGTGAACCGCTGTGAGTCGCCTTCGGGCTTGAGATACAGCGGTATATAAGCAAAGTAAATACATAAATAAATAAATAATATATGTATATGTGGTTTTGCACATGCATTGTAATGTATTTTGGGGGGGTGGTTGCTTTTTAAGTCCCTTCTGCTGTGTTTTTCAGTGTTTTTATGAGTGATGGTCTCTCATTGGCCTGAGAGGTGTCTTGTGTCCAAATTTGGTGTCAATTCGTCCCGTGGTTTTTGAGTTCTGTTAATCCCACAAACGAACATTACCTTTTTATTTATTTAGATAAGTAAAAAGCACTTTAAAGCAATAGGTAAATCCCATTAGGTAAGAAGATAAGCATGAACATTGTAATGTATTTTCTTTTCTTTTTTTGGGGGGGGGGCTTTTTWAGTCCCTTCTGCTGTGTTTTTCAGTGTTTTTATGAGTGATGGTCACTCATTGGCCTGAGAGGTGTATCGTGTCCAAATTTGGTGTCAATTCGTCCAGTGGCTTTTGAGTTATKTTAATCCCACAAACGAACATTACATTTTTATTTTTATTATATGTGTGTGTGTGTGTGTGTGTATGGAATGTGTATATCTGTATGTGTGTGTGTGTGTGTGTGCGTATGGAATGTATATACATGTATATGTATGTATATGGAGTGTGTGTGTGTGTGTGTGTGTGTGTGAAATGCCCAGAGTGGGAGAAATAACCTTTGAAGCAAGTGTGAATGTGGCAATTAGCAAGCTTGAGCATTGAGTAGCCTTGTGACAGCAAAATCTATCTATCCATCTATCTATACACACACTCCACTTGCCTCATTCCCAACAGACCTCTGAACAAACCTCTGAGGGTGCTTGCCACAGATGCAGGTGAAATGTCAGGAGGGACTGCTACTGGAACATGGCCAGACAGTCTGAAAAAAATCACAGCAACTCAGTATTATTCCATCACACACACTCCACTTGCATCATTTCCAACAGACCTCTGAACACACCTCCGAGGGTGCTTGCCACAGATGCAGGTGAAATGTCAGGAGGGAATGCTATTGGAACATGGCCAGACAGTCTGAAAAACTCACAGCAACTCAGTATTATTATGGTGTTTATTTACACCTTGTATTTTCTCTGCATAAGGAAACTAGAGCTCTATTTACACAGCTACATAAAATCCACATTGAACTGGATTACATGGCAGTGTGGACTCAGATAACCCAGTTCAAAGCAGAT